AAAAAAAAAAAAAAGTAACACATATTGTATAAAAATGAACTCAAAGTGGGTCATAAAACTAAATTTGAAATATAAAACTATGAAAAATAATAGAAGAAAATATGTGTGACCTTGTGTTATGTGATGCATATTTAGATATGACGCCAAAAGCATAATTCATTAAAATAAAAGATAAACTGTATTAACATCTAAAACTTTTGCTCTGTGAAACACACAGTAAAAGCATTAAAAGGTAAGCCACAGATTGAGCAACTATGTTTGTAAATCGTATATCTGATAAAGGTCTTGTATCGAGAATATGTAAAGTATTCTTAAAATGCAAAAATTAGAAAATAAACAATATAATTAAAAATTGGCAAAAGATCCGGACAGAAACTTCAGCAAAGAAGATGTACAAATGGCAAATAAACATATGGAAAGATGCCCAACATCATTAGTGTATAGACTAAATTGTCTCCCAAAATTCATGTGTTAGAGTCCTAACCCCAATGTATTTGGAAGATGGGGTTTTAAGGAGATAATTAAGATTAAGTGAAGTTATAAGGATGGGGCCCTAATCCTACAGGACTGGACTTCTTAGAGGAAGAAGACAGCAGAGTTCTCTCTCTATGTGCGCAGATGAAAAACCTTGTGAGGACACAGTGAAAAAGTACCCATCTATAAGCCTGGTAGAGAAGCCCCACCAGAGACCCAAGCCAGACAGCACCTTGATTTTGGACTTTTAGCCTCCAGAACTGTGAGAAATAAATTTCTGTTGTTTAAGCCATCCAATCTGTGGTATTTGATTATGGAAGACCTCGGAGACTAATATAATTAGTTATTAAACAAATGCAAATTAAAAGCACATTGAGATTCCACTACACAATATAGGAATGGCTAAAATTAAAACAACAACAATGTAAAAAAATTTAAAAACTCTGACAATATGAAGTGTTGGCAAGGATGTAAAATAATAAAAACTCTCATTCATTGTTGAAGGAAATGCAAAATGGTACAACCAAACTGGAGACGAATTTGGCAGTTTTTTACAAAGTTAACATATACTTATCTTACAAGCCAGCAATCCTACCCCTTGATATTTACTCAAGCAAGTGAATTGAAAATTTAAGTTCAAATAAAAATATGTATGCAAATATTTATAGCATCTTTATTCATTATCACCCCAAACAGAAAACAACTTTGATGTACTTTAACAGGTTGAACAGATAACCAAAGCTGTGGTACATTCATTTGATACATTACTACTCAAAAATATTAAAGAGCAAACTATTGTTTCACATAGTAATATAGATAGAATCTTAAATACATTATGCTAAGTTTTAAAAAGTGACAAAAAAGGCAATGTATTGTATGATTTGGTTTATAAAATTTGCAAAATTATAGGGATAGAAAACAGTTAGGTGGTCGCCAGGAGTCAGTGGACGGGGGAAGGGCTGCGTCCAGGGAGCCACACAAAGACAGTGCTAGGGGCTGGAACTCTTATGTATCGTAATATGTTGGTGGATACATGATTTTATGCTCTTGTCAAAAACTTTAATTTGCCATAAAAATAAACTTAACTGTATGCAAATTTTAAAAACAATGTAGAATGTAGGGGGATCCCAAGATGGAATGTAGACTATAACAAAAAATGTAACTGTCTTTCCATATAGGACAGAACTTCCCTGAAGAGGATGAGAGCAAAACGTGCTGACCCAAGTAATTTTGGAATACAGTGCTTGGAATGGACACTGTGAAGCTGAAGACAAAAGAAACTGTGTAATAACATTATGTGCTAGGTGGAAAATTTGTTTCTTATAGGGGTATCTGTTAGCAATTCTGAAAATTCTTTACATGCATCTATGGTTAAACAAGTAAATAAGTTACAGATAATGTGAACCACCTTTCTTACTCTCAGAAAGAAGTTACAAATGATCAGGGGGAAGGAAGGTGAAGGCTAGAATGGTTTGCATGTGTATATTTCATATAGAATGTATATACACACACAGAGAGAGAATATGTATATATACACACAAAAATAAACATATACATGATGGAATAATATATATGCATATATTTACTAGCTCTATGCACTGCCTAGAAGCAGTGATATATCTCAGTAGCAAGGAGCACACCTCGCTCCTGGATCGTGGTTTCATTCTCCAGAAAAAGGAAAAGATGTCTGATTCTAGGGCTGGTGAAGGAAAAATACAAGATGAGCATGGAGAATCTAGTAGTGCTGGAAAACATAAAAGTGCTCAAGAAAAAAATAAATAAATAAAGAGCAACATAATTAGCAATATTATCAGAATATGAGAATAATCCAAAGAGTAAAATAAATATTTGTCACTCTATATGGATATGAATAAGTGACTGAAAAAAAATAGACAGAAGAGAATGAAAGAATTTAAATGTAGAAGGAATAAGGAAATAGAAAATCACCACTGGAAAATCACAACAATTGCTGTAGGCAAGATTTATTGATGAATGCTAAAATGAGTGGATGAAACTTTAAGGAGAAACAGAATATTTGCTGAACCTCAAGGGATCTCCCTCCCAAAGTTACTAAATCTGTGGTAGTTTTAATGTATTACCACAAATTCCTTGATATCTCTTTTGCTAGCATAAGGAGCTTAATTCCCCTCTCTTTGAGTGTGGGCTGAGCCTGTGAGTAGCTTCTAATAAACAGAATATGTAAAAGGAAAAATATTAACTTTACAATGGGGAAACCTGACAAACCATTTCAATCCAGTTATCAATGTTAATATTAACAGTAATTAGTCATGCCGATATCACTGGACCCTGATATGATGGGATACGAAGGGCTAATTGATTCCATGATATTCTTCCCCCATGCCTATAACCTCAGTATACTCATGAGAAAACAAACAAACCAAACTTGAGGGATGTTCTACAAAATAGCTGACCACTTCTCGTCAAAAAGTGTCAAGTTGAGGAAAGACAAGGAAAGACTGAGAAACTGTCACAGATTGGTGACTAAGACATGGCAACTAAATGCAACGTGGTATCCCCAATTGATACTGAAACAAAAGAGGACATTATTGGAAAAGCTGCAGAAATTTGAATGAAGTTTGTAGTTCAGTTAATACTCATAGTATAGCACCAAGATTAATTTCTTAGTTTTGGTAGTGAATAATGGTCACGAAAGATGGTAATTTTAGAGGAAGCCAGGTGAAGGGTATATAGGGACACTCTGAACTATCTTTTCAATGATTCTGTAAATCTAAATGATTGCAGATTATTTATTTAGATTTAGATTATTCAGACTTCAGAATTAAAAGTTAAAACGAAAAATGGACTGACATGACATTTATATATTTTATCTCCCTTGGAAGAAAAGCTCGAGGTAAACTGAATCCAAAGGAGAAGCCTAGGAGGTACTTGAATAATCTAGGCTTGATGCCGTTAACTTTCAAACGTTTCTTAAACTTAGCTGACTTGTATAGGCCATTTCATTTTCTGCAAATAGAAACTTTGGTGGAAGAACTGGAGCTGCTGAAGGGGAAAGGGCAGGCTATTGGTTAACTCCTGTCCTCCTGCTTATACTTTTAGCACTTAATTTTCACTTTTTCACATCAGGAATTGCAACATTAGGATGCCTGTTCCCCAGATTTGAGCCTCTTGACTTCACCTTTGCTTTCTGTTTCTCCAGGTTTATGAGTCTGTGTGATATATACCTGGATGTGCTCTTCTATCAAAGTGGCCAGAACTGACCTGATTTCACAAACTCAGGGTTGATCTGTGTCAACATTACATTCCAAGTCATAGTAAAGAGAGGGAAAAGGAATACAGACTAGGAAAGCTAGGATGCAGTGAACCCCGTTCACAATGGTATCCCCTTCTTGGGAATTGCAACTCATAAATAAGGACAGATGCTCACTGGCTAAATCTTTACATCAACTCTAACCTAAGACAGTCAGAGTTTCTCTCCTGGGAATTTGAAATTTGAAACTGAAAGACGCAGAGATGTAAGACCAGGAGAAAGAATAGGATGTTTTGTCCCAAAGGGACGTAAAGTTGTCTTGATTCTGCCCTTTCTAAAGCTTAGATGCCAATTGTACTAATTTTCTGTGGCTGCTGTAGGAAATTGTCATCAACTGGGTGGCTTAAAGCAATTGAAATTATTTTCTCATAGTTCTGGAAGACAGAATTCCAAAATCAAGATGTCAACAGGGCCACACTACCTACAGAGGTTCTGGGTGGAGGAGAATCTCTTCCTTGCCTCTCTTAGCTCCCTGGACTTATGTACTATATTTCTTCCATTTCTGCTTCTATCTCTACATCATCTTCTCCTCTTTTGCCTGTCCACTCTGAATGTCTCTTATAAAGACACTTGTCATTGGATTTAAGTCCCGCCTGGATAATACAGGATAATCTCATTTCAAGACTTTTAAGTATGTCTTCAAAGATCCCTTTTCTAAATAAGGTGACATTCACAGGTTCTGGGGATTATGATCTGAACATATTTCTTTTTGGGGGGGGCACCATTCAACGCAATCAATACACCAACAACTTTCTATTTCTTTTCTAAATAAGGTGACATTCACAGGTTCTGGGGATTATGATCTGAACATATTTCTTTTTTGGGGGGGCACCATTCAACGCAATCAATACACCAACAACTTTCTATTATTTTTTTTTCTTTAAGTAGTGCCAGTTTCTATGATTTGTAACCAAAAAACTTACATAGTTTGGTCTCTCAATGTTCATGGAACCATTTGTAAGTGGCTTGCACCCTCCGTATATTAAGACTGCCTTCAGTAGTTCTTCAATTTTAGTGTAATAAGAATTACTTTGGAACTATTTAGAAATGTAGGTTTCTACCCTCATCCTCAGAATTTCTGTTTCTCAACAAATTGATCCAGGAATCTGCAATTTTTACAACTCCCAGATGTGCCTAGTGATAAAAGAATAGGGAAATTATGAAAGCTCAGACCCATTAATACCCCATTCAAATAAAAGCAAGAGGAAAAGCAATAAAAAATAATTTGAAAACTTTAATGATGTTGTTAATATAGTAAAACCATAAAATCTTTTAAATAAGGTACATTCAATTTCTCAGAGCATCTAATATTCAGATAATTTATATTTCATACACTTTTCAACATTAAACAATTGACTAAATAATGCATTTTCTAGAAAATGATATTACAGCTTATACAGATAAAATTATATTATAAAAACACTCCACACAGGAAAAATGGCAGTACCTATTAGAAAATGCTACGAACTTTCCATTAAAAAATATATTTTATCTCTTTCATTTGTTATAATAATAAACAGAATATAATTTTTTTCTTTCTAAAATTAAGTCTTACACCATTTGTCTTTAGGATGATAATATATACAAATCTTATATCTGAATGAATATAAATAGCAATACTGTAATAGTGTTACAGATATATTAGTAACTTTTACAGAAAAAAAACAAAATAAAACATGATAGCTTTCTAATAAAAGCCTATAGCACAGCTGAAATCTTAAAGCTATTTAAGTTAGACATTCCCATATTTAGTAAGGCACAATGGAATCTAGATTTTTTTTTCCAGTTAAATTACTGCAAGCAGTAATAAGGGAAAATATAGTCAGTAGATACTGGGCCACATCTGACAGTTGGATAAACTATTTGGGGTTTATTAAACTTTGGGGGAGATGTTAGTTCTTTCTCCACATCATGGTTTCTTTTAGTGCACTGTGGCAAAATCAGTCATTGGTGATGAGAAAGAAATCATTGTACCCCTCAAGTGCCTGAGAAACAGTTTAGTCATCCGTCGGATCTGGCCCATTGTGAGAAATCAGCCCAGTGACCATTTCTGGTTATAAGCAGCTTATTTTTACTGATTGGAACTGGTTCCCTATCATTTCTAAAAATAGCTTCTGATACAATCTATACATTGTGAAGCTGTGAAGGAATCTGACAGTCTTCCTCAGACTCTGAGTGACAGTTTTGGGAAAGTGGTACGTTTTCAGGTGCTTTAGAGCATGCATCAGGCCCTTCAAGGTGTCTTGGTCACCATTTTTCATTCTCCACAGGCTGAGCAGCTTCAGGATCTGCTCACCTGATTTGCATGCCTTCATCGTTTTTTCAATGTCTTCTGTTTCCACTTTCTTCCCCGGTAAGCTTTCCATCAAGCTGTGAAGGTGCTCAAAGGTGAGGTTTGCATGCCCAAGGTGTCGCTGCACAGTGTTTTCACAGAGGTCAATATCTGCAGAAAGCAAAAGCCCAAAGAGATGTTCACATCATTTATAGTCATCTAATGCCATCATAAAACCAGCCTGAGGACAAAGGTTCTCACGGAATTTAATAATTTTATTTTAAAGATAAACTTTTCCTTTCTTTTCTTTTCTTTTTTATTTATTTTTATTTATTTTTTCCTTTCTTTTTTTTTTTGAAAGGGACTTAAGTGACACTATTTATGAGAAACAACATACATATTATGTTGTTTTATAATAGAAAGATAAACTTTTCCTTTCTTTTCTTTTCTTTTTTATTTATTTTTATTTATTTTTTCCTTTTTTTTTTTGAAAGGGACTTAAGTGACACTATTTATGAGAAACAACATACATATTATGTTGTTTTATAATAGGATAATATGTTATATATTCTAGGCATCCAATAAAGGTTTGTGAGAAGCACCTAATTTTGAAAATTAAAAGTAGAAAATTACAGATATATCACTCTCAGTTTTCTAAGAAAAGAATAAGAAACTAAAACCATAACATTTATTTATTTATTTTTCTATTTAAACCATAGCATTTTGGAAGAACAGAAAGAAAATGTTCAAGTTACCTAGTCGTAATATAAAATTTCATTGGCTGATGCCTGACATAGGCACTATTTGATAAGTTAGTTGCTTTTACCAGTCCTTAATAAATATACGTAGCACTAGAATATCACCACCATGAGGAGGGTTTCCAAAAACCCAATCATATGAGGCCAAAGAACTGGAGGATACACACAGCCTAGAGACTGCTTCAGTAATGAGCTAGGACATAAACCTAAGAGGGAGTAAGGAGCATTTCCCTTAATGACATGAGTCATTTAGTATCTGTGAGCCCTAAGGCAAGTTAGTTCATCTTTCTGGGCTGAAATGTCCTCATTTATAAAATAGGGAATTTTGTCTCTTCCGATGGTAACAGTCGCTGATTCTCTATTTCCCTTTCTTTTTGCTTCAGGGTTAATTATACGTTCGAAGAATATTTTTGGTTTGCCAAAAACAGAAGAAAAGTTTACTCTTTGCATAAGCAAAAGCATTCAACTGTCAAAGATGTTTGTCTCTTAAAATCTGTTGTGTCCATTTCAAATAGTTGAGGTTTTTAGGGACTACTCATTCATTTAACTGCTAGTGAAGAGCAGAATGAATTTCTCACTGACGCTATCTCCATTATGAAAACTCTTCCTCATTTTTTCCAGCATGTCCTCCCAATGCTAATGCAAGTCAGAACTCTTTGGACTGTACATTTTAAAGCTTACAGTCCACACTGAATGAAGCTCATTTCTCTTTAGATTTTCTCTCATCAAAACATCACACACACACACACACACACACAGTTACAGAGTGTTTTTTTCTCTCTCTCTCTCTTTCTCTCTCTCATTCTTTTTCTCTCTCACCACTTCTAAAGGAGATTCTTTATAAACCTCTACTTGGTTTTACCTAGTCTTTTCCTACAAGATGCTCAAATACTTTTCAGATCTTATCTCATTAATCTTCACAACATATGCTATTAAAATGGTAATTTCAATATAGGCTGTGTTGTGAGAATTAATGACAGGAGGATATTTGTAAGACACTTAGAGCCTCTGTGGAGAAAAATACCAAGTAAATACAACGCAGCTCCTTGGTGAAAATGCAAGGTAACATCCGAAGAGGTTAAGAACTTCTGGGTAGTTCAGAGGGGATGTTAATACAAGATCTAAGGGATCTGGAAACAGATTCCCTGAGCTCTCGTCCTGTATTTGAAATGCATTGTCTCTTCTTTTAGATTTTTCAATACACTTTAGAAACAAATGGGGGAGGGGAAAACAACAAGGATGAGAATAAAACTTTCATGACTACTTTAGGAATAACATCTACACTATCAGTTGGTGAAAACTTTTTCAGTTCAGTAATGATACCAAAAGGGAAATACCCTCCACACAACCAAACAGGTAGTAGTCCTGTTCCTATTTTATGATAAATGGTTGTCCTTGATTTTTGATGGACCCGCTTATTTCAGGTTACTGTACCTTGGATAATCTTCTTGACTGTGTCTTGGTCTTTATTTTGATGTTTCCATAACTTCAGCAGCTGGAAAGTTTGCTCTTGAGAGCTGTGTCGCCGTTTTATCCTCTCTACACTCTCTGCATTTACTCTGGTGCCAGGCAGATTGTCTACCAGGACACTGAGCCAATTAGGCGTAAACTTTGTAGGGACAGCAAATCTGAAGAACGCTTCCTCACACAGGGTGACATCTAAAGGAAGGTGAGAGAACCAAGATTTACTCAACATTTGAAGTCTGTTGGACAAAAACAAAAAACCAACACAATTGCATTTTCCAATATATAATATGCTAAAAGACAAAGTTTGAATAAAATCAGCCTTCTGCTGTCTGGTTTTAGTGGCAAAGACCAGCTGGGTTTATGTGCTTTCTAATGTTTTCTGTGCATTTTCTTTGGGTGGGGGAGAAGTTTAATAAATAAATATCTAATAAAAAGGTAATATTGTTATAAATAAATTATAGTCAAAATGTTATAGTTTAGTGTAAATATTAACATTCTGTTTAAGCTTTACCTACTGCCCACAGGGTATTTCAAGATCAATGTCAAAACAAACATAATCTCTGCCTTTAAGAAGATTGAACAGTAATCTGGAATAGTATATTATTCTATGCCTACAAAGACATATAGTTTACCTTTAGAAACAAGGCAGGATATGAATACAGATATACAAGTATGCATTAAGTGGGAAAATAATCAAACATAAAAACATGCCGTTTAAAAAAGAGTTGCAATGGCTCAAGTATTTGGGTTGGGTCGTTATATACCAGGAATTAAGAGTCTGTCTTTGGATTTATCAGACACCTGGGTTTGAATCCTGCCTCTGTCATTTAGCACCTGTTGACCTTAAGCAAACTTCACAGTATTTTGTGAGTATTAAAACCTACAAAGCAAAGTACCTGGCATATAGAAAGTGCTCAATGAATGACAAAAATAGAATTTTAAATGAATTAAATAAATTTTTTTATATGCTGAAGTTAGAAGTCACTCCTTTTACTATCCCTTCCCTCATTTTATTTTTTAGATAAGACAGCAGAAAGTCTAAATGACTTGTCTGAGATTTTGACTACTCAGTAAAAAAAAAATTAGAACTGGATTGCAATCTTGAATGTATCAACCCACATTCCTATGCTTCATACACTTCTATGTATACAAACAGATGTTTGGGAAGAGTCAAGCCTAGTTCATAGCATTGTTTGATTAAATGTGAAAAGGCAGATCATCCTTGGTGTGATGAATCACTGAGTGATGGTCTGAGATTAGTCCAGTGGTAGGAGTAAAATGATTAGGACACTCACCAACTTGATTAAAGTCATTACTGACATGCAGTGTGTTCAGATAACTTGAGCTTGGTGCTAGTGACCCTTACTGACTAAAGAGTTTAAGACAACCAGAGGAATTTGGAACTTCCGTGCAATAGATGCACTAATACCATAGGTAACACGGCCAAGTATTCATTTCTAATTTGTCATCAGTTTATGTCACTATGCTTCTTAGTTGCCAATTTATACTTTAGCTAATAATACAGACATTCTTGAAAGTGATAAAAACATATAAAAAAAATTCTACAATTTGGACTCTGCTAAATTGACTTCAGCCACAAACTTGACACTGCCCTTTACCCATGGGTAAGATTTGATTTGAGAATGAAAGGAAGGGGAGAAAATTAGGCTTTGATTGTTATCTATGAGAAGATGAGGACTCTTTGAGAGATTTTTGAGTTGTGACTTTAGCAATGATGCACAGAGAATATTCGTAGCTGGTTAAGATTCAGGAAAGAGAAAATGTAAGTTTGACTAAGAATGTAGCCAGAGAGGCCCCTGTGTTCAGCTCAGAGAGAGCTGATACTATAAAACGGTACAAAGGATGATATTTTGGAATATAATTACCTATTCCACATTTTTGAGTTGATTCACTGTTTCCAGAACATATATTGTCATGTATCGCATTTCCTTTTTGAATTAGCAGGAGACCAAACACACTGCAATTTGTGTGTTTTCTGCAGGGTGCTTTCGATGACGTCTCATTCGAGAAGAACCCATCTGGACATCTTTTGCAAACTGTATTTCGCTCCGGGGTTCCTACAGAAAACACCAAGCAATTTAGCACCACCTTCTCAAATACTTTCACAGCAGACACCCCCTTGACACAGTTTTGGAAAGACTTTTCATTTGGTTTATACTACTACTATTATGTTACACAAAACTTTAGGAATTTTCATTTTTCACTTCATTAGACAGAAAGAACAAAACTTATACAGTAGTCCCCTTTGGCAATCTCCCTTCTTTGTAATACAAATGCAAATTTGTTTTGTTGTTAACTACAAAATGTTCACAAAACATGAAAGGAAAGGAAAGAAGGGTAGGGTGTTCATTAGTCCTGCCTCTGCCAAAGTGGCTGTAAGGCCTTGTTGCTAATCATATTCTTCACACAATTATTCCTGGAAAATCATCAAGATAACTGCTGTGTGTCTGCTGCAACATCATTCTTCGAAATCAGTACCCATTGAATGCTGCATCATTAAATTCCAATCAGTTCTTACTGAAGTTCTCTCTTTCCTGAATCCTAATTGTAAAGCAACTCATATGTATACTAACCTTGAGAAGTAAAAATTTACAACATTATAATAAATTTTTCGAAGGTGGCAATAAAATTGGCTCACAACTCAAAAGCGTAAACCTGCAGTAAAACTACGGAGTAAATGGAAGATGATATATTGTTTGCTTAAACTGTTGAGTAAAACCACAGTCGTTAAAACCTCAGGAAGGGTGACTGCAAGGGCATTTTATTTCATTGTGGAAAGATATTTGATAAATTTGGAGAAATCATTGGTAGGAAAACTTGAACCAGTCAACAACTAAAGATGCTATTAAAAAAAAAAAGTCAACAACTAAAGATGCTATTTAAAAAAAAATGTCTTCAAACACTTGACTCTATTATGTGTGGATAGATCATATATTACAGTGTACTGGCATATGAAAATATCTCCATCTAGTGTAAGCTAGTTGAACAGATTTAGACTTCAATATTCAAATGTAGATTTTACAGGCCGATTTTGGCTTATGCAAGATAAAAAATACAAAAGAGACAAAGGAAAGCTACAAAAAGTTATTATGCTTCACTTATTAAAAATTCCAACCTCCTACCTCATTGTATCTTTTGCCAAAACCAGAAAAAAAAAAGGAGGGGGTGAGTAAAATGGATTGGTTCTAGTTTTATCTCCTGTCTCTCTCCTTTCTAAAGGGATTGATGATTCATTGACCTGTAAAAATGACAAAGGGCCGTCAGACAAAAAGAGGTGGGAAACCACAGCCTGAAACCTTCACATATTAAATGCTATTTCCAGCACTGAAGTAACATTATCTTAGGAACGTCCTTACAAAACAAACAGGGGTTTATTTTGGTTTTTTAGTACTTTCTTACCACACCCCACTTCTTAAATGGGATCCAATTCCCCACCACATTCTATAATATCATAAGCAAAGGTATTTGGGCAGAGATTCCATAGCATTCTTTCATTGCTAATTTACTGGGAATAAGTAACTTTGACATCTGGATCCACATCTCCCTTTGCCAACTGCCACATGTCCTGCACAAAGAAGAATCTTGTCATACTTCAGATACATATTTACAGCTTGGGTTGTCTCATGCATCCTAATGAGAAGGTCACATGTATGAAATATTCTTTTAAGTTAGCCTTTAAAAGTTCTTTGTTTTATCATTCTTGGATTCCTTTGGTTAAAGTTTTATAGTGTATTTGGAGGCTTTATCTCATGACCTTTCCAACAGGACTCCCTTCTTGATAATTGATAGAATTTTTATATATATAAAAATATTTATCAATCTAAGTAATGATTTTGCCTTATTAATACCAGTGGAAATATAAAAAATTATAACCTGTTAGGCAAAATATGAACTATCATAATGATGAGAGGAGTTTAGCTTTACAGTTGAGAATTCACCAAGCTAGCCATAAGTAATTCCGTAGTCATGACAGGGCTAACTAACAGATAGAATAAAGTAAATAAAATATGGACAGAAGACAATGTACTTCAAAATAGCAACAACAAAAAAGGAATAGTTATTAAATATTTTTTAGAGTAACACTGCATAATCCTTCCTTCTCTTTGGGCTGGAAACTTCTTATTTTCCATGAGGAACCACTGTGTGGGTTTTCAGGGAGGGAGAGGTAAATAAACCCCACTGTGCAGCCAAAAAATAAAATGTGTACCTTTGTACTAAAGCTTCTGGTCGCCTGCTTACTTCACGCTACAAACAGACCTTTATGTTTATATGAGAAAGATCCTCGCTATTTCCATTATTTTTCAAAATTTTCTAGTGTCCAAGCTGCATAACCTGTGCTTACCTAATTTTCTACATATACAACTTACTGAATGGAATTGATTTGTTTTTGCTGGATGGGCTTTTCTCCCCTACCATTTGGCTTAGCTTCTGAGTCCCAAAGAATCATTTAATAAAAAGTAGGAAGTGTCACCAATTTCTGCCTCAAATACTCATACTAGAGGCATTTTAAAGGACTCTCATGAAATTGTACTTTCTGTGATTATTAAGATTCAGTACTTAGAAAACTGAATCTATTTCCATTTCTGTATATGTTTCCTTTGTACGTCTTTAAACAGGACTCTCATGAAATTGTACTTTCTGTGATTATTAAGATTCAGTACTTAGAAAACTGAATCGATTTCCATTTCTGTATATGTTTCCTTTGTACGTCTTTAAAACTATTTATCATCTAATAATTAAGACTTTGTATATCACAACTTTTGAAAGTTAAGTTATAAATTATTAGCATCCATAAAGCCAGTGGTTCTGAACCAAGATCAATTTTGCCAGCTAGAGGACATTTGACAATGTCTGGACACATTTTGGGTTGTCATAACTTGGGGAGAACTGTTTTTGGTAATACAGTGGCTGGAACCCAGGGACACTGCTCAACTGTCTGCAGTGCACAGGACAGCTGCCTACAAAAAATGAATTATCTGGACCAAAATGTCAGTAGTGCTGAAGCTGAGAAATATTGCTTCAAACTGAGTAATCAGAATCTATAGCGATTACTATTTCCTCCAGCTAAGTAAGTGAATGCTCTTAATTTTCCTAAGCCATAGAAGTTATAGACTACACTGAAGCTTTGTGAATGTGCTAGGAAAAAAAAATGTGGGTTGCAGCTTTAAAAGATTCAAAGTGTATTCTGAACCTATGCTGTTCAAAATGCAAAAAGAGAAAGCACTTTGTTTGTAGACAAGTGCTTACTCTTGGCTTGACAATCTGTTTTGTCTAAGATAAAGAATAAGCTCATTGAACAGACACCGCTACAGTCTTTATTCTCCCAGACACTCAACTCCCATGCTAAAGGAAGAACTAGCTTCATTTTTAATAATGAAATGTACTTCCCCTACCCATTCTCATTTTTTACATAATTAATTATAACCACATTGTTACCACACCAGAGCCTCATTAATATCAGCATAATTACTCTCTTGGTATCAATTAACATTTCTGATGTTTGTCAAAAGCACTGTAGTTTGAAGCCGTCCATGCTGAAGTGAACCACAGAGGTATACATCAACTATCAACAGTGCAATGCAGAGTATGTTCCTTTAAAAAAGAGCAATCCATCATGCATCTCATTAGAGAGCAATTTGCTGCATTTGAGATTTGTCACTGAATTGCCCTGTAGTGGCAAAGTATTCCCCTGAGAAATGGTTCTTTGGAAGCAATCCAGACACATAGCACATATCTAGCAGGTCCCATTACTTTGGCAATTTGCTACCCTCTAATGTTATCAGGACAAAAGCGTTCCCCCAAAATTTCACTACTGACTTTGCACCATCCTAATTAATTTTGCTGCACGTTGGAAGCTGACACTTACCAGCTTGTACCACTCCAGACCCAGGGGGACAGCTCCTGTGCCTCAAGCAGAACTCTACCTCGAGGTAGCGCCCTTCCTCACATTCGCACATGCGGTTGTGGGTGCGATTGCACTCCTGCTTGACATACTGCAGCTCCTTGCATATGGTATTGCAGTAAAGACACTCGTCACTGGTGTGCCATCTGTCAGAGTAATAGTGGTCAGGGCAAGGGGTGCACACAGTCTTCCGCCTCGTCGTGCAGTGCTGTTTTAGGTAAGTGCCAGGAGGACATTTGTCACACATCAGCTGATGAGAGGTTTCTGGGTCATAATGAAGATACTTTGGAGGAAAGGTTTCCTGGGTGGTCCATTTAATAGAGATGTCCAGGAACTGGAAGGAAAAAGGGAAATAGGGTTGTTCTTTGTACAATAGCATCATTAGACTCAAAAAGTCCTTTATTAACCGTACGCCTTAGGCCGTTCCTATATGTTGAGATGCACCACAAAGTTCAGAAGCCATAATTTTTGCCTCCAGTAGCTCAATCTCAAAGACCAAGAATGCGGACAGCAGCAAACGTATTAAATAAATCCAGGCGCAAAGATGACTGGAGTAGAAATTTAATCAAAATAGAACTTATAACACTTAGATGCACTGCTGAATAACGGTGTGACCTGAAAGATGCATTATCTCCCTGGGTTTCAGGATTATCTCTAGATTAGTGAATTGGATGAACTGGTGGTTCTCATAACAGCTACTCCAGAATCACCCGAACTCCTGTTAACAATGTAGATTCCTGGGATTCACACACCCTTAAGCATTTTGATTCCACTGGTGTGGGGATGAGCCTGGAGACTTAAAAAAAATTATTAGTGAATTGGATGAACTGGTGGTTCTCATAACAGCTACTCCAGAATCACCCGAACTCCTTGTTAACAATGTAGATTCCTGGGATTCACACACCCTTAAGCATTTTGATTCCACTGGTGTGGGGATGAGCCTGGAGACTTAAAAAAAATAAAAAAACAAAAAAAACCTAAGGTAATTCTGATGTGTTAAGTACATACTAAATAATTATTCTTTCATTTGTTCATTTGATGAATAGTCATTGAGCGAGCCCTTAATATGTGTCAGGCTCTATTTGGGGCATGAGATACAGCCATGAATAAAGTAAGCAGGAAACCCTGCCCTTGTGGAGTTTACAACTAATAAGAGGAGTAAGAAAGTAAATATATTAAAAATAAATTATATATTAGAAGAAAAGTATTATAAAACAATGGACAGGTAAAGAAGATTGGAAACATGGAGGGGAAGGTGGGGAGATTACAATTTCTAAATGGGGTGGTCATAATAGCCACATGTAGAACTAGATGATATCTCTTAGTTCTCCCATTCTAAGACTTAATGATTCCAAACAAATAATGAAGTAAAGAGTTAGTGATGTGTGAAGGTATGTAATTACATCAACAGTCATCCCATCGTTCATTCATTCCTGCAACAGATACATACTAGGAGTCGAGCACCAGGAGGATGCAGGCAAGTCAGACGTGACTTTGTCCCCATAAGCTTGTAATCCACTGAAGGTATTTCTAGAATTTTAAGGCTGACATTTTCTCTGAAGATCATATGAACCAGTATACTTGACTCTCATAGGTGAATGATGTCTAGAAAAGTAAATGACCATTTCTCTTTAGGGTAATTGGCAGAAATATCAGGGAGCAGGCAGGGTTTCAGAAGTTTCCATACATAATGTGCAGCAGGAGAAAAAGGACTTCATGGGCAAGGGTGCTGCTGGGGAGGATAACTCCAAGTGGGTATCTATCGTGCATTGTGCATCCCCAAAGGTCTTCCAGGGAACATTGAAGTAGTTCTTCACACTAATTACAGGAAACACACGCTCAGAAGAAACAGTGTTGTTTGTGTGTAGGGGTTGGTTTGTTTGGTTTTCATTGTTTGTTTTTGGTACAGGGATCAACGCTGACTATTTTCAGGCTTTGGAGAGTTGGCAAACCAAATGGAATAATTTTTTCCAAACTGTCTTCTTTTGCAGAACTCCGGAAATCTCACAGAAACCCCCTGACATGGGAAATACATGCCAAGCTAGGGAAACAGCACACCCTTTTGAGCTAGGTGGCAAAGACAAAGAATGGGCCCTTTTCATAAGCATTTAGGCATTTTAACTTAAGTAACTTCAGTCACTTCTGACTGGAACATGGCAAACATCTGTGCTGATGGGTTGATGGACCAGAAGAACAAAACACTACACGCAGGTCACGGACCTCTTAACAGACAGCAATTTTCAGAGAGAGGCAGTGGTATGATGTAAGGGACTCACAACCAACAAAAAGCAGAAGACAGTGAAAAATCCAGGGCTACTCTGGTGGTCTTTTCAGGACACTCCCTTAACCCAAGGATTTCTGGGGAAGCATGTTCTTGAATTTCCCTGGGGCTTTTTATTGGCTCAGATGCAGTAGGTTGACATTAGGTGAAAGAAATGAACCAGTGATGGGTGGAAGCTCTGGTTTGGTGTAGATCTTTCAGAAATAGATGGGATCTACTTACTCATTCAACATTAGTTTATTGAGTCTCCACTATGGACCAGGCTTGACAGAAGGAACTTAACCTGTGGTGGTGCATAAAACAGAAATGGCCCTTGCCTTCCAGAAGCTCACAGTTTAGAGAGGTAGCAGACAACAAATAAAAGAAGAAATAATTACAGCAAATAATTACAAATAATGATCAATGTAATGAAAACAAAACAAGAGGAAATGACTGACTGTTGCGAGTTGGTCATCTCAATATATCAAAGGACATCTTTCAAGGCTCCTTGTGTGGATTTAGCTCAAATATTTCTAAAATCTTCAATGCTATCAAGTGAGGTTTTCCTGACACAACTTGCAAAAACATGTGAAAGCAATAGAAATACTTTTTTCTCTTGCTGTTACTTTAGGTTTCCTGGAAAGCCACTTTTGAGGGTTCTGCTTTGCTTTTAAGAGGCCTGGCTCAGAGATCCAGAGCAACTCCTTTATCTTGAGTTCTGCTGCTTAAGTGAGCCACTTTATGGCAGGTGGGAGTCCTGAGGTTGCCCCCAGCTGGACTTCTCACTGTTCCCTCTTTCCCATTTCAACATGTTGCAGTTGTGCCATTTATTCATCAGCAATGACTCTTCTCTCCTTTACACAAAAGTGATGAGGATGGAATAGAAACCCAACAGATGGTGATTGTGTTCTTCACTAGAAGGAGCCACATAAACATAGATGTGACCAAGAATGTTGATGTAATTTATACTTTTTCTAGGTCATTGGACATAATATTGTTGGTTTCTGGAAACCATATTTTGGAAACTAGTTGCCATTTCTTTAAGATACAGGGAAGTTGGGATGAAAAGAGTCCACAGAAAAAATTTAAAAGATGAACTTAAGGATTATTAAAAATCATATGATTTTTAAAAATCATAAAGGCTTAAGGAATTGCAGACTTGTTTTCAGCAAGTTCAGTTGGACTGTTGTGTTTTATTTGAAAATTTTCCACTTTGGTAAAAAGACAGAACTCTGTGTGGCCAAAATTGAATGTTTAGTTCTCAATCTTTGGTTAGCCCCAATTCCCACACGGAATTTCTGGAATCAGTTACTGGATAGAGGATGGGCAAGATTAATAGAGCTCTTCATCTCAGTCCTTTCTCTTACTTTCTTCTACATTTCCTGGAAAAGCAATGAATAGGCTGCCATAGGACAGATTGTCTTAACATTGGTTATAGCTCCTTTGACAGCTAATGATATTTAAAATCTAATAAGAGTTTAAAAATGAATTTGTCTGTAAAATGCAGTCTCCAAATAACCACTAATGAACATTTGCAAAAGCTATGACACGTGCATAGTTTTGTCTGCAGAAGCATAAAGTGCTTTCCAGAGAAGAGGTCCCTCTGTCTTTTGTGTTTTATGCTTGACTTCTAAAAAAGAATTAAGTGGAATTTTCTCTGTATTTTTTATTTTCTCCTCCTCCCATTTCCTGTCTTTCCATCATTTACTATGGATCACTTGGGCTTGAAGGGAATCTGAAAGTCCTCCATCTAGTGCTTCCCACCAGTCCAAGATTTCTCTCTGAAGCCTCCGTACCTCTTTTTTTGAAAGGACAGTAAGGTTGCATCTCCAATAGCTTTGTCCCTCTCCTTGCCTTCTATTTTTCATGTTGGGCAGTGTTAAAAATTTTCTCTTTCAAGCCTAACCATCTTTCCTCATCTATCAAATGTTAGCAGATGATGGTAGTGAGTGAAGATGGGGGGTTGGTTAAATTAGAGATGTTCTAATTCCTTTTCCAGCTCTATCACTGTACTATCCTATGGTTTGACAGTTTAATTAGCCAATGTTCTTGGAAGCAAATGCCTTGCTCTCTCCCCCTTCATACTTCTTATTTCACCTGGTTTTATTTGTGAAACTCATTTTTAACAGCAGAACTCTGTTTACCAATCTCCACTTTTCATATTCACCTATGCCTTCCATTCCCTCTGTAAAACCACCCGATACCCCAGAACCTGGTCAGTTATGCATTCTCTTAGCATGCCATTCTCATGCTGGTTCTTACCAGTGGAGTTGTATGCTTAACAAGTCAGTTGTATGTTTGCTGAATCTATTTATGCTAGGTAATTCAATGAAATATTACATAAATCATCAAATATGGGTGTGAAAAAACAAAGAACTATTTTTCATTGAAAAGTAATTTGAATGCCTTGGGATGACTTGATAAAAATGAAACCTTTCTCCCTGCCCCCCACAAAAACAAATCCTGGGAACAACAACCACCAAACCAACCCACCATAGAATTTGAAGTAAGTGAGACAATTGTAAAAACAAAATGGAGAAAACATGTAAAAGGATTATATAATCAATTAGTTTCATAAGTATCTTTATATTCCAAAACTGAGTGGATGGGCAATATGTTGCGTAAGGGTTTTGTAAGAAAGACAGCATGAGAGTCTAGTTAACAAACACAGACTTGAAGAAAAGGATGGGCCATATCTGAAAATAAAGGAGGTTGAATGCTTATTTAGATGTTTTAAGTCAAAATAAAATATTCAAGGCATATGTGTATAATTTTTATTACTAAATGCTGTGATTTTGAAATTAACTATCCAACCATTGGTCACAAACATATGTAAATTTCTAGTGATAATTCCCCAAATTAAGAAGTAGGGTGGTAAGGTAATGGTAAGGGCAGGCAGGAAAAAAAGGGGGGGGGGTGCGCTATGAAGATAGAATTCTCTTTTGTCTATTTCATTCAAATATACATATATTAAATCTACTCTGTGCCAGGCAGTGAATTAATAAGTAATGTATATAATATTTTGGTTTGTACCTATGTTAAAATGTTTTAACATTATTATTATCATTAAGTTT